TATACATTCCAATCCGGAAAAAGTACACCGAAGGTCCCTCAACTTGTCATCGAATTACAAAATCGTCCCCCAACCACAAAACCAGATATATGACATCCCTCAACTTACAAAACCGTTCACTTTAGGTCCCTCGGTGGTTTTGATCACGGTTTTGTCTGACGTGGCGGCTGAATCAGCGTGGACCCATATAGGCCTCACCCTATCTCTTTCCCCTCCTCTCTCTCTCACTTTTCTCCTCTTGGGCAGGCCGGCCGGCGGGTGGCGAAGAGGTCGCCGACAGCGGGGTGCAGTGGCTGTGGCGCGTACCTGGCCGTGCCGCCGGGGGCGCGGTCGGTGCGATGCGCGCTCTGCCATGCCGTGACGCGCATCCCTTGGCCACGCCAGCCACAGCGAGCTTAGCACTCGGAGCCGCGAGAAGTAGTCGCTGATGACGAGCAGCGCCCGCGCCGCCTGCCTCGTGGCCAGGATCCGGTGCATCTGCTGGAGTGTCTGCTACATCAGCAGATCAGCCTACACAAAAAAAATCATCGCATCACGCCATGGTAATAAGCAATTCAGTTCGCCATTGATGTTTGACCGAAGCTTGAGGAAGTTCTCCAGCGTGGTGAGCATGGCCATGGCGATGGCCATCTGTCCCATGTAGTTAGTGACGTTGTCGACGACCACGGTGGTGGCCGCCGATGCCATTGTGTCTCCCAGCGTCTGCTGCAGAGTCTCCATCCCCTGCGACAGCGCGTCCTCGGCCTGCTGCGACTACTGCTGCAGGTTGCAGATGCCCATCAACTGCTGATCCGTCAGCGGCTCAAGATGGCTCTCAAGAACCTGCACAAACAACAACATCATCATCATTCAACAATAGCGGTCAATGGTAGCTTCAGATTCTTTGCTTGTTACTTAATTGGGTGGGTGATCACTCGTGTCAAATCTTGAGGAGCTCAGAGGAACAGAAGCCGCCGAGCCACATGAAGAAGCGCTCAGCGTGGCTCATCCACATGCTGGAGAGGACATGGAATACGTCGGCCTAGGTGGCGAAGCTCTTGAGGCGGAACACCTGGTCGTAGTGCATCATCACGGCGTCGACAAGCACGCGGAGCTCGTCCTCGCTCATCAGCGCGTTTGCGCCGCCGCCGCCGTTGACGACGTCATCGGGGTGCGGGCGGCGGCGAGCTACCCGCGCGTCTGCGGCGAGAAGCGCGGTCTCCTCATCGGCATCAGCTACGTCGCCACAAGGCACCAGCGGCAGCCTCGCCATCTCCAGCATCGGCTGCGACGAGACGACATCAAGACCAATAAGACCATCGTCACTGCCGCTCTAGCTCCCGGCGGCGGTTGCTCCAACCACACATGGTCCTTGGCCGTCCGCACCGCCGTCATGTTCGAGCCCGTCCTCTCTGCAGCTTGGTGTGTTGCCGACGCCCTCCTCCTCTCCCGCACTCGCCCCGCCGGCTGCCCTACCCAGGGAAGAGAGAGAGAGAGACCGGAGGCGCATGCGCGGCCGGTGGCCGGCAGTGGAGAAGAGCGGCGGCTTGCTCGCTCCGTCGGACCACCTCACCCGCCTCGCCCGGCGACCTCCTCCCCACCCGCCGGCCAGCCTGCCCAAGAGGAGAGAAGTGAGAGAGAGAGAGGAGGAAGGGAGAGGGGAAAGAGGGAGGGTGATGACGTGGCATCCTAACATGTGGGGCCCACGTGGGTCCCACGCTGATTTGGTTCAGATAAAACCACGGTCAAAACCACCAAGGGACATAATGTGAACGGTTTTGTAAGTTGAGGGATTTCATATATCTGGTTTTGTGATTGGGGGACATTTTTGTAAGTCGATGACAAATTGAGGGGCCTTCGGTGTACTTTTTCCTTCCAATCCCAGTGGGCCTTTCTTCACTCATTCCGCTGGGCCCTGCATCAAAATCTCTCTATCTCTCTCTCCTCTCCTTTTCTTTAATTTTGGCTTAACGTACGTGCCACTACAAACAAGTACTCCATATTTTTCTCTTCAAAATTCAAAATCATTGGTTACTTCAATTGCATCTCTCCTCATTACATTGCTAATCACGAAATTAAATCAAGCTCAGTGTGCGGCCTCCAAAATGGATTCAAAAGAAATCGTAAAATGGAGGCGCCTCGATCGCTAGCTATCCAAGATGGACGGCGTCGACAGGGACACAGCGGCGCGGCTCACAATCCGGCAGCGCCAACGTGTGCTGCAGAGGGCCATGGTGATGGTACACAAGCTACCCTTACGGCGGCCGCGGCTTGTAATTAATTTCCTTATTCATTAGTTAGCTACGTACGAAATTGCATGCACTAATCAATTTCATCAAACTAGTGTGATTGTCCACACACAGATTGTATGGTTTGTATCATTGTTTTTTCTCAAATAATAGCATACATATTTTCACATTTTTATAATTAAAATATATTAAAATAATAATATACTTTAAATTATGTGCTAACCTGATCAACTAACTGATGTGTGATATTATGATGAATATAGATAATTCCTTACTGTTCTATTAATCATACAATAAATCAAAGATATGTTTTTAATAAAAAAATGTATTTCAATACTAATTATTTTTAATTTAAAATTTCAATTATTTTTAAATTGTATTCCTATATGAACTATAACTCTCATTCTAATATTTCTTTTTAAAATTTCTAATTTCCATTATTTAAAATTATATTTATATATGAACTATAGACTCTTCTTCTAATATTTCTTATTATTTTTAAAATTTAGAATTTCCATTATCTTTAAATTATTTGTTTTTATTTCCTAATTTCATCTATTCCTAAATTATATTGCTATATGGACTCTAGAAACTTATACTAATATTTCTTTTTTTTTATTTTCAAAATTTTATTATTTCTAAATTATATTTTTTATATGGACTCTAAACTATTCTTTCGATATTTTTATTTTTTTTATATTTCTAATTTTACATATTCCAAAATTGTATTGCTATATAAACTCTAGACTCTTCATCCAGTATTACTTAATTTTAAATTTGAGTTTTAGATATGTACAGGTTATATTTATGTATATACTCTAAACTCTACTTTTTGTTTTATTATATGTTTAATTCTGAATTTTAGTTAGTTCTAAATTGTATACCTACATGGATTCTAGTCCCCGCTTCCAATAATCCTTATTTTTTAATTTCGAATTTCAATTATATGTAGAATGTACTTCTATATGGACTCTATGTTCTTTTTATATTCCAAATTTCAGCTATTCCTAAATTGTATTGCTATATGGGCTATAGACTCTTCTTCCAATATTACTTATTTTTAGTTTTGAACTTTAGATATTTACAAATTGTTTTTCTATATGGACTCTAAACTGTACTTTTAATTCTAAATTTTAATTAGTTCTAAATTGTATACCTACATGAACTCTAGTCTTCTGTTCCAATATTCTTATTTTTTTAATTCTGAATTTTTATTATTTCTAATTGTATTTTGTTGACGAAAAAAATCGAACACACCGGCTTGGGAGATCTGCTTAGCTCCTGTGCAGGTACAAAGATTGATGAGATGCGGGCTTGCCAGTCAGTTTGATCCTGCAACTGACAAGATATGCAAATAGCAGATCAAAACAGCCGATCGGCTGACAAGCCGATGGAGTAGTTCCAGCCGATAGCCGATAACAGCCGATGCCGATACCAGCCGATAGCGATAGGGTTTAAGCAATCGGCTATATATCCAATGTAGATAATGATATAAAGGCAATCGACTGATGATGATATAATAAAATAACAATATAGTCCTGTATAAACCAATCGGCTAGCAATGATATGATAAATAAGCATCGATCCGAGGGTTAAAACACACATCGGCTGGAGGTCCGATATCATGAAATCCACAAGATTAGATTAAACAGTGAAACCTTTGTTGTCATCGGCTAAATCCAACTTATATGTATATGCAATCATTATGAGCCGATGCAACATCCAGATAACTCACCGGCTGAAACCCTGATGAAACCCTTATTGGCAATCAAGAAGCAGGCTAGAGATTATGGTTTTAAGCACGACTTAGTAGATCAAACTTAACTGATGCAGCACTAAGTATGAAAAGAAACATAATATCTAGACAATCAAGCCGTTGACTGAGTTTTCAGGGTGGTAGATGTCTAAGCTAATCTAATCTAGTAACGCGATTTAGCCGATACCGGCAGAAACCCTAAAACGAGAAGCAGCCGATAGAGCTAAATTGACATGCTAAGACTAGATTAACAGAAACATATGATAAATAGGTAGGCAAATATATCATCCAAACCAGAGCAATCCAAAAGGTCAAATGTACCGATGCAGCCTTGAACGACGCCGACGTAGACGATACAATTGCCTGGACCGGCGGAACATTGGACTTATCCCTTCGCCGGAGATCAAAGACGATGTAGCCCCGCGTCGGGTGCCAAGTCCCACCGAAAAAGGGTAGCGATGCGCCGAATTGTATTGATCGTGAAGATAGATTACAATGACCCCGGGTGTACATATTTATACCCATGGGTTGATACAAGTCCTTGTCGGACAAGAAAGAAACCTTCGTAAAGATAAAATGAAAAGATAAAGTCCTTATAGGACACTAAACACACTTTCCTAAAGATAAAAGAAAACTAACAAACTATTCCTAATTAATAGATAAACTGCCATGCCGCATCCTCTTTAAACTCGGTCACTTAGGGATAAGCTTCCTTTAGTAGATTGATTTCCTTAACCGAATATAGCAGGAATCCGACTATTGGCGACTTGATAACTCCCATCGGCTGATTCCGAGATGCTGCAGTCGATAATGATTCTAAGCCGATAACGTCTTTGCCGATTACCAAATTTCACTGTTAACATATTTCTATATGGCCTCTAAGCTTTTCAATATAAGATGTACATTAGCTAGCAAGTTGCCCTTGCCGCGAAGAAATTAGACAACAAACTAAAGCATACTTAGTAGGAGTAATACTCTATATATAGTCAGTTTTATCTCTTCTGTACCTAGCTTGCTTGGAATAATTATATATAAGTGATTAACAAACTCAGTATAAAGTACACAATGAACAGATGGATATGCATTGATCCGATCTTTTTCGCGAACGCTGCATTGATCCGATCTATGCATGCATATGCGACTAGAGAGGCATTCAGAATTAATCTGTTTAATTAGCACTCATATATAGATATGTGAAGTAAACCAAACACACAACACAGCAATTACTTGGTGATGTTTGATTAAGCTATTGCTGCTATACTACACACAAATGCTAAAGAAAGAGAAATATATATGGCCCTGGCACTTGAACCACTAAAATTTACCTGTATAAACGTACTTATATAGCTTGGATCGATCTTGCATTATATTGGCTCACCTTTTGTTAATTAATTAGCTCGAGCTGGCTAGCTATATATAGCTTGTTGATCATATATATCATGTGAGTATATATATATGCCAATTAATTAAGCAAGGATTTAATTCATGAAGCTTAATTAATTAATCTAGCTAGAGAGCTAGTAGGGCGGCGGCGGCGGAGGGCGGGCATGGTGCCATGCAGCAAGCCCGGCGTCGTGCATTCCCCCGCCGAAAAGTAGTGGATCGGCGGCGCCGGCCATGAGTGGCGGCGGCGCCATCATGCCGCCTGCCGCTGCTTCCTCCTCCTCCTGATCCAGCGGCAGCCTCTCGTAGGTGGCGTTGGCGAAGGTGGAGGCGATCACCATGACCGGCCCCGCCGCGGTGAGCGTCCCCACCACGCTGCCGCCCACCACCTGCCCCTGCCCGCCGGCGAGGTACACGGTCAGCCCGGTGGAGCCCGGCGGCGCCGGCCCCGGCAGGAACGTCCCCGTCAGGGACAGGATCTCGAACCGCCCACGGAGCGCCACCACGGCGCTCGGCGCGGCCGGCTGGCGCAGGGCCACGTCGGTCACGGTGCCGGCCCCGCTGAGCACGCAGACGCCGCGCTGCCGCCGCCGCGCGAAGTGCGCGATGGACTCGGCGACATCGGCGCCGCCGGCCACCTCCATGACGTGGCTGCGCAGCGCGTTCGGGCTGTCCCGCGTCACGAAGATGGGCGGCTTGGGCTTGTTCTTGGAGCCCGGCGGCCGTCCGCGGGGGCGCCGGTTGCGGCCGGTCACCACCGCGCCGTCCTTGGGCTCGCCGCCCCCGGCGCTGGTCCCGTTCATCTCGTGGTCGTGGTCGCCGCTTGGCTCCTTGGACGCCATGTCGTCGTCACCGGCGCCGGTGGTGTCGTTGTTGCCAAGGCCGAGGGATGGGTCGGCGGCTGTCACCGGCAGGCTGAGCCGCCCCTCGTCCCACCACCGGCTCGCCAGCTTCTACCTGCGGCCTATATATCCAGGCTAGGCTAGGGTTTAACTTCTTCTTCTTCTTCTTCTCGGCTTCCGATCGATCGATAGATCCCTTCAATTGATTAGCTTCTGGCTAGCTAGTGCTTCTTGCTCGCTGCGCCACCTGGATATATATCATATGTATCGATCCATTAGCTAGCTAGTACTACTAGTTTAATTACTATTATGCTGAAATTGATTAAGCTCTATCTATCTATCAATCGGAAGATGCACATCACAGGTTGAAGATCGAGCTAGCTAGCTTGCAGTTAATCGATTGAGGATCTCGCAGGCTAGCTAGAACATCGATCCACGAGTGGAAATTAACATCAAATTAATTGTATATATGTATGTATCATTTTGATGGAAGAAAAATTAATGGGGAATAATACGGGGCTAGCAAATTAAGGCCAGTAAGTTGTACCTTGGGGTTTCAGTCGAGGATTGATGGAAGAGTAGATGATTTGAAGGCCTGATCTGGAGGGATCGACCTCGATCTCTATCTCAAGCTAAGCTAGCCCGCTCTCCTCTTGTGTGATTAATATTCTGCTCCTCCGACAGAAATGATCCCCTTTAATTTTTCATCCGGTTTGTGTATGGTTGCCCGGCCGGTGCTATATATGGGAGAAGACTAGCTTTGCTCTATCTTATTATATCAGGGATTTAGCGTGTAACTAAGGGTGGTTTGGGGGCACTTAATTGTTCTATTCCAAGTTGTGTTGGTGTACATGGAATATGTGTACAAGCATGACATATAAAAAAAGTAAAAGTAGGGAGGAAAGAGTGAAAAGGCTACGTACACCCTTTCAGAGGGTGCACCTTACAAGTTTATTAATTACTATCACGCCATGGGTAGAATGTTGGACATATGTGGCTTTATTTCTTGTATCAACGCTTGCTATGGATTATTTAAGCTATAAAATTGATGGAGGCACGGGCGAGCCGTTACTTTAATTTCTTGTCTGATAATGTATAATACATTAGTATTCTGACAATATCTTTTGTAGTTAGCATGAGTGTTAATTAGTAGTATAGTTTTGTATGCAATACCTCTGTCCCAATTTTAAGTGCAATTGTGGGTTTCCGTATCCAGCATTTGACCGTATATCTTATTTGAAAATTTTATGGAATAATAAATTAGTCACAAATAAAGTATTATTCATGTTTTATCATCTAATAATAACAAAAATATTAATCATAAAAATTTTTAAATAAGACGGACGGTTATAAAAAGTGCAAACCTATGGTCTTTTTGAGACGAAGATAATATATATGTAGTTACAAACCACCAACCCCTTGTGGTAGACTTTCTTAGCCTCTCTCTCTTTATATAGTATATATATATATATATATATATATATATATATATATAGTTTAATTAGTTCCTGTGGTGCTTATCCAAAAGAACCATATATCCAACTAGGGACCTCTTAGTATGCCATAAGCTTATTGGGTTTATAATTAATTTGGCTGACTTTTTCTTTAAAAATATGTAGTTTATATAATCAAGCAACTTTTGAACCACAAGGCCAAGAGAAGAGTACTCACAAGTACTCCAATCCACAAAAACCAATAAATCCAAACAAAATATACGCTTATTTGAGCTTTACGATTTTTGGCATACAAATCAACTTGCTAATTAGTCCAAACAAACGGATCCTTAATATATGTATATTATCCAACGGTATTTGATTGAAATAACTAATGAATAAGAATAGTGCCCACGTTTTTTATATGAAAATAGCTGGAACAACCTTTTAATAATACAAGTTTGTCGAGGAGTGACCCTCTCTAGCGGAAGATCGTGAGACCCTCCTTTCGTAAGTCCGGCCGGGGGAAGAAGCTCGCCTCTAGAAATCGCATATCCGTCCCCAAGGCTCCTAGCTAGCTCGCACACAACCAAATTATATAGGTTCAGGCCGCTATCAAGTGTAATACCCTACTCCTGTGTATGGGATTTAGACTGAGAGTTACAAGGGTTCCTAAACTCGGGAGAACACTCTTACTTCCCTCCTCCACAAGCTCAGGTTTTCTGAGAGTCGTCCCCCCTCTCGGAGGGCAAAGTCCTCCTTTTATACCTCAAGGGGATACCACATACACCGCCTCTACCTACTCTTCTTTCGGGAGAGGACCCACCCTATCTTGACTGGAACTCGACCTGTGCCTTCGCCTGGAAACTAAACCACAGCTTATCCTTGAGCGGGGCCCAGCGCCGTCCCTCGCCTGACACGGGGGATGGCCCTGTCATTCCCTCATTAATAGGTGAAGACTTGTGGTGGCCGCCGTCCGAATGAACCCCCGATGGGACAGGTCATACCTACCTCCACTCCGCTGGAAGTAGATGCGACGTGGGAGCACGGTTGTCCGTCCAGTCAGACATGACCGGTGTCAGGCCGGTCACAGACCGGTCATTCTTGACCATCGCGCGTCAGTTTAGCACGCCGCACGTCTGCCCCACTGCATTAAATGCGACAGGGGGCAGTTGGGGCGTTGCGCGCATTAAAGGAAGTTCAGCCTGGGCCCCCTCCTCGCTTGCTCCCCCCGCCAAACGGCGGCTGGGCGAGGGCCTCGGGGCAAAGCAGTGCAAGGGCCCGAGGGGCAGTCCTCCCATTTCTTGAGGAGATGACTCTCGATGTATTGCCCCGCCGTGCCTGGCCGGGGCTGGAAGTAACATCCCCCCACCACCGCACCTTGCAGCAGCTGCGGGACGAAGAAAGACTGGAATAGCCGCATCGTCGGCCGTACCCCGATGAACATCTCACACAAATGCGCAAAGATGGCCAGCGTCATCACGACGTTGGGTGCGAGATGCAAGGCATGGATTTCGTAGAAATCCAAAACCTCGTGGAATAATCCGGAGAATGGCGGGATCAACCCCGCCATAGCAAAGGACAGGAGGTGCACGGATCGCTCCGGGTACCGTGGCCGCGGCCGCGACTCCCCCGCCCTCACGGCGGCGTCTTCCGGCATGATCTTGCGGGGGAGACTAAGGTGCCTATCCGCCATAATGCGCGATGCTGGAAGCACTGCGTCGCTGGCATCTTGAGCCATGATGACTGGCGGAGAAACGACGAGGGGCTTGGTGTGCGGAGTAGCGTGGAGTGGCGAGAATGTTAGGGCTTAGGGAGCGAGTGTGCGGGTGAGCAGTTGGCGAAAGGAAGAAGGCAAAGTCCCCGCCTCCGTATCCTTTTATCCCTGCCTCGCCCGCGCTCGCCTCCTTGTTTCACGCCCTCTCGGTTGCCCCCACGATTCTCGCGCCTGCAGTTGCCTCATCGTTTCCTGCGACCACTCATCACGTCGCCCACTGAATCCGCGTCCCGCATTTAGTGCGCCTGTCAGCGGCACACTCGGCGTAGGGCGTGCGACGGTCACGGGCGCAATCTGGGCGAACCGTCACCAGTACCGCCGCATGCGTGGCGGGTGAGGGAGTCTAGGTGCAGTCCATCCAACCCCCTGATTTTCGCGCCTTAAGCATCCTCATCATCAGCGCGGTCAGTGGCGGTCAAACCGCTGTTGTTGTTGATACGCCAACCTGGCCACTCGGCGGCATCCACTTAGATTCCCTGCCGGGCCCACAACACCAGTTTGGGAAGTCGTGAGGCACCACATCAGACCGACCTCAGGAGGCCAATGTCCGATGTGGTGCCGGGGGCTACTGTCGGAGATATGGGCCCGGGAGTATGCGAAGTGAGGGGAATCTACCTTCCCATCCTGCCACGTGTCCCTACAGCCTGGTCCTGTCCCCGTATTCCGCGAACCGCAGGAGCGGCTGGGGGGTCGGAGCCTCGGGGTGCCACGTCATGCCCCTCGGGCCCTTGCACTACTTTGCCCCGAGGCCCTCGCCCAACCGCCGTTTGGGGGGGGGGAGCAAGCGAGGAGGGAGCCCAGGCTGAACTTCCTTTAATGCGCGCAACGCCCCAACTGCCCCATGTCGCATTTAATGCAGTGGGGCAGACGTGCGGCGTGCTAAACTGACGCGCGATGGTCAAGAATGACCGGTCTGTGACCGGCCTGACGCCGGTCACGTCTGACTGGACGGACAACCGTGCTCCCACGTTGCATCTGCTTCCGGCAGAGTGGAGGTAGGTATGACCCGTCCCATCGGGGGGTCGTTCGGACGGCGGCCACCACAAGTCTTCACCTATTAATGAGGGAATGACAGGGTTGTCCCCCGTGTCAGGCGAGGGACGGCGCTGGGCCCCGCTCAAGGATAAGCTGTAGTTTAGCTTCCAGGCGAAGGCACGGGTCGAGTTCCAGTCAAGATAGGGTGGGTCCCCACCCGAAAGAAGAGTAGGTAGAGGCGGTGCATGTGGTATCCCTTTGAGGTATAAAAGAAGGACTTTGCCCACCGAGAGGGGGGACGACTCTCAGAAAACCTGAGCTTGTGGAGGAGGGAAGTAAGAGTGTTCTCCCGAATTTAGGAACCCTTGTAACTCTCAGTCTAAATCCCATACACAGGAGTAGGGTATTACGCTTGATAGCGGCCCGAACCTGTATAATTTGGTTGTGTGCGAGCTAGCTAGGAGCCTTGGGGACAGATACGCGATTTCTAGAGGCGAGCTTCTTCTCCCGGCCGAACTCACGAAAGGGGGGGTCTCACGATCTCCCGCAAGAGAGGGTCACTCCTCGACAAAGTTAATTACTCGATCTGAAAAAAAACATATATATGCACATTGCTCTCGTTGCGTTCATCATTTTATATATACCAAAGCATATGCATGCCAGTTTAATTTAATCATTAATTTACGATTATCTCAACAGTCTTAGTAGTACTATTACTAGCTGTCTCATCTTTTTTGTTATGTAAAGATTAGTAGTACGGATATATCATATTAGGTACTAGATTGGTTTTTTATGGGACTGAGAGGGCATATAGTAAAGTACAAGCAGCCATTTGCAGAACACTGTACCTAGACTCTAGGTTGTGATGAACCCAACAAACACCTATACTAGTAGCTAAGCTAAGACCATGGATTGACTGGTAATTTTATTGGCAATGGCCATACAAAGCTCCTAATGATGCGTGAAAGGAGATCAAAAAAGTGTTAATTAGCTTTAATGACAGCTCCCACTAATATAAAAGGGCACAGATTCCTGTAGCTAGCCTCCTAATGTAATGGTGGTCCGGGGACACAAGTTGCATGCAAGGCTTCATTGCCATGAACTTTGTTTTGTTAATTACGACAGGTCATGCCGGATTAGATTACTGTATTAAGATAAGCTAGCTTCACTTGTTGGTTAGCGCTTTCCTCAAAAAAAAAAAACTTGTTGGTTAGCGCAACACGTCAAAAGACAGCACTATATGTATTCACAGCAAATTAATCTCAACTGCAGCAATGATCAACGATTTTTTTTTTGTAAATATGTTCAGTTAATATTTGGAATCTCTCATATTCTTAGATGAATAATACTACTGCCTTTCTAGTTTGCTGATTAAATCGTGCGCCTTTTGCTGCATTAGTTGCGTTGTTTGGATTAAACTATCCATTATCAAGTAATTAATCACCTCCCTTGGCCCGTGAATGGCCAGTTGGAATTGTAAAATGGATGAGACAGGAGAGACGATCGGAGAGGTGAGGCTAGCAGCAAATACATTAATCGGACAACCTTAGGATGGTCGAATTTTTCTTAATTATGTACGGGCAGGAAGCAAGGAGTACTTTAGGATTTGTGCAATTTTCGGAACCACAAGAAGTATGCACAGAAGTTTCATCCGGCTTCTGGATGCTAACATGATGGATCACATCACAATTCACCCGTATTCCTTTCATTTTAAAATAAATAAATATAGTAGTTTTAGGTCATAAGATGTTTTAACTTTGATCAAAGTCAAACTGTTTTAAATTTAACTAAATTTATAGATAAATATAATAATATTTATATTACCAAATTGATTTTATTAAATTAATACTTAAATATATTTTTATAATAAATTTATCTTAGATAAAAAATATTACTATTTTTTTATAAACTTGGTCAAATTTAAAGCAGTTTGACTTTGATCCAAATCAAAACATTTTATAATCTGACAAAGTCAGAATATTTTATAACCTGAAACAGAAGGAGTACGGGATATGACACACATTCGTTTGTCCAGGATATGTCATGCTACTATTTTGTGATGACGGAGGGAGTACGTAGACGTGTAGCACACAGTGACATCATTAACTCAAGAAGTCTTCAGTGATCGATACAACAACTTGGTGGCCATGTTTGGGGGCCTAACACACAGTAAAAACTTGGCAGGGGCACAGTCTCTCTTGGAACGTCAACTCGCAATAGCGTGAAGAGCAAAACAACACAACTCTTCGTTCATTCATTCGGTGTCCAGTGTAACAATCAGCAGGACAAAGTCGCCATTTGACATTTGCAGCAGCCACTTGCAGGCAGTCCATCGACAGACACACAGCATCTTCTCTTCTCTAGCAAATCAGTAAAATCTCAGCAGAACAATTGCAGTGAGTGAAGCGAATCCAAATGCTGCTTTGCATACAACGATGGCTGAAATGGGCACAAGTGTAGCACCACCAACGAGGGCATATATCATCAACTCGTAACTCATCTTTTGCCGTCACAAAGTTTTACAACAGTTCTCACCACATTCAGAAAACGTTCAGCTCGCCTTACAATCAATCCACACAGTTTGAGATAAAATTCTCAAATGTTCGGTCATCAAGTGCACAAAACTTGATAAACACCGTCAGCCATGTACTTTACGTGCAAGCAAGAGGAAAATGAAAGGCAGAGTCAGACAATTCTTCTACTTGGTTAGGTAGTATATAAGGAAGAAGACAGAAATGAAAGAAGCCACCATGGTAGCCATTCTGCGACTTGCTTTGGTCTCAAAAACCTGAAGTAAGAAAAAAAAAAGAGCAATTGTAAGAATAACAGAACAGTTAAGGAGTAGCCCATGACGTGGAGATAGGAACTCCTTAATTCATTACCATCTTAAACTTGTCCACCGTTCCAGATAGAAATCCTCTGGAAGCATCCATATCATTACCCTAAATAGCAAAGAAATGCATTAGAGAGTAGTGACAAGAAAGATAGCATCTTGCAGGATATTAGTACCATTCTGTCCAGCATTCGGTTATGATTCTCCACTTCTTCATGTATATCTCCTGTCAACTGAAGAGACAAACCACATCAAAGGTACAGTAAGTTTAGAATGGCTATAAGCACATATGAAGATTACATTGTGATCTAGCATGCAAAATCTTGAGAACAATAACATACAAAAGCTAAAAGATGCAGCGCTGTTTACTTTTGATATTCAGATCATCCACATGCAATAACCATCATACTAATTTTTTGAAATGGTATATGGCAGGAGGACTGCCGGTTATATTAGGAGGAGAAAAATAAAGATAAAAAGTTATTAACAATGGATCATAGTCCGTCGAGAGAGAAAGAGGAGGGAAGGGGCGACTTAATTACATAAGGAGTGAATCATAGACTAAGGAAAATAACATATGGTAAATTTTGCAGTGAACTTTGCGCCATGTTCCTCACAACAAAATATTTGCAGTGAGCTAAGGACTATTAACGATGCGTCGGGACCTCCTGGAGGCTGGAACAGTGGAATAATTTATCCTTGAATGATATGTCTTTATTCCTCTTTTCTAGCTGTTTCTATAATGCTATTTTGGATTCTCGAATGTGTTGATCTCACATTCAGATGTTCAGACCGTCCTTATATTTTTCTTCGATGGAAAAAATTGGGGTCATTTCTCCCTAGAAAAATATGTCAGACAATCTGGAAATTTATACTAGCAAATACACAAGAAAGTGCCCAACTCTTGCCGTGTTACTGTACAAAGCTATAAGTAGTCACCTTCTGCAGTTAGCACGAAAACAAGTCATGGGCCATCAGTAAATAATTCCAAATTAAGCCGTTTTATTTCTACCAGCTCGATAAAAACTCCATCCTTGGTATTATATAGTGCAAAACGATCTAACCCCAACCTGCAAAGCCGGTGTTACCGGAGCTGGCCATCTAAACCGTGGTTGCTCTAGGTCGTGCCAATTTGTATAGCGAGAATAGGCACCAGTGTTTCATTATCTTTTTGCACTTCTCAAAAAAAATCTAACCCTAACCTTATTGTAACGGCTCAACCATTATCGCACACAATGCGATCCAATCAGACTGAACCATTTAGCCCTTTGCAGTAGCACAGGGTTTTGTGTTAATGAGGTAGTAAAAACCTTTCTAGGTTTGTATTGCACATAACTCAATATGTGAAGCAAACTTTGCAGAGAAATGAAGTGCGTCATATGTACTTTTTTTGAGAACACTGACCCTGTCATACTCTTTTGGTAGCTCAGAAATTCCGTCTTTGGTATTATGGTACAACACGATCTAACCCAAACATTAACTTAAAAAATGCTCCAAGCATTGTTGTATACTCAATGATCTTATCAGACGGAACAATTTAGCCCTTTGCAGTAGTACGGGGGTTTGTGTAATTGAGGTTTTGAAAACCTTTCCAGGATTGTGTTGCACATAGCTCAATTCAGCAAGTAAACTTTGGAGAGAAAAGAAATACATCATACGTACTCTTTTGAGAACGCTGACCCTGTCATGCAGACTGTCCATAGCTTGGTCATTCTCATGCTCATGAATTTGAGAAGAGTAAGCTGAACTTCTGATCGCACCCTCCTCAATACCATCAAATAAAGCAGCTCTGTGGCTGCGGAAGTCCCTGCAAACGGCCAAATGAATATAAAAGGCATTACTACCGTGTTCTGGACAACTTTAGTACTGTCTAGTATGCGTCACTTCCGTTAGCTGAGAAAAATTACTTCCAGTGATTGAAAAGTAGCAGAGTAGAAACAAACAGTTTAATTATTATTATTTTCATATGTGTTGTATTTTCGTAAGTTTCCATGAGATTATATTATAATTTTTTTTATGAATCATGACATGTTAAATGAAAAAGGGGGTATTTTAATTTGTGGAAAATCAGTAAAGACTAAAGAGGCATCATACGGTACGGTAAGATTGGATAAGGGGATAAGCATGATGAACGAAATGGACAAAATGCATATATGCAAGAGGCAGGGGCTAAGATGGGACGGAATGTCAATTAAGAAGCAGGTGGGCTAGATGGTAGGATTATTAACAAGTGACAGAAAAAGAGAAGAAGAAGAGCCGCAACTGCATCTGACGGCAGCCCGCCCCAGTGAAAAAGGGGGGCAAGGCTTTACATCTGCTGGATCTACTAGTAGTATATAGTCGATGCCCAATTCATGAATGAACTGACTAATCAAGTCAGTGAGTGAGTAAATCAACAAAACAAATACAAGAGAAATGAATAGACTGAAGAGGTAGGGGATCTGGGAGACTGACCTCCTAGAGTTCATGGGGGGAAGGAAGAGTCCCGGCCAACGAAGAAGGGGATGGAAAGCGAGAGAGAGAGACTGATGGATGGAGGAGCCGGAGATCTGCGCCGACGACGGAGACGATGAAGTCTGGCGGTCCACAGCCCCAGCCCATAAATGGAAATTGGGCCCATATACTCGTTCCTAATTACTTGGGCTTACGCAGGTTGACCATTTTATGGGCCGGCCCTTTCAAATCAAATTAATGAAATTCTGAATCTCTCCAGTCTTAGATTAGACCACTGCGCCTGCGCGCAAGGTGTTCGAGGCGAGCGCCGCGTCTCTCATCAGCGCTATCTATGTATCCGCACGCACATGTACAGCGGCGCCGGCGGCCGCAGGTAATATCAATCTTCATCGGCGTGCACGAAGAGAAGAGGTCTCTGGATGGCTGCCTGCCTCCGTTCATCGGCAATCCACGAGACGAGACGAGGGAGGGATGCGGGCAGAGCAATAGCAGAGCCCGCAGCCTCGACGGAAGACAAGGCATCAAGGTATATTATATTTTAACCTGATTCCCTCCGGCCCGCACTCGATATCCTCCTCCTCTCCTCTGCGCACTGCCACCAGCGATCCGCCTATGTCGTGCTTACCGGCCCGGCCAGGCCAGGCCATGCCCACCACCTGCTCGATACTATGTTTCACTCGCACCCCACGACTTGTCACACACTCACGCTAGCCTAACGTCCTCATCTGCACATTCCCCTCAAATATGCCTTTCCACATTCTATATCTATATGCAATGCAATCCTTTTATCTATTTGCTTAGGCTTTTCAATCATTACGCCCGTCTAACTATTTTTCCATCATTGAGCTTTAGCCCATTTTGCAAACATCAATTGCGAATGTTCATGCCATAATCATATTTTTCCTCTCAACCTCCAACTCATGCTTTTTTCAGGACAGATCGATTTTAGTATTGCAGAAACCAGACAACTTACTTTCACTAACTATGGAACTACATATCGACACAAAATAAATTTATGTGTTCGCAATATTTGAACAGCTACATCACAACTCTGCTGCTTTATTTTAGCAATTGAATGTTCATCCTATAAGAATGTAAGTTATTGTTACCAAAACCGTTCCAACTCGTACAGTATCTAGCAGTCTACCACATATGTATCATCAACTCATGCCTGATTCAGATAGGCAAAGGCTACTGACTGAAGGTCCTCCATGTCATGATACCAATTCCCTTGCACACTGCAACAAGGGTTGGTGTTGCTGTACTCAGCCATGCACAACTCTGCTTCAAAGCCTTGTGAAGATTGAGCTGACATAGGGGCCAAGTGGCCATTTGCAATGTATGAATGATTCTCATTCTTTACTGAAGAGTTACTTGCCATTGTTGGGCCAACAAACTGTTGCTCATCTTGCACAATAGACGTTAACATATTTCCACAGCTATCGTTTTGAGGGCTTGAGATCGAACAACCATCTCCATACCCTTGTGTTGCCTGAGCTTTGAGAGATTCTAGTTGTGCTTGCAGACTGACTACCTGTGAAAATTTTTAACAAGGAACACCACTGTCAGTGTCACCTATTTCCTTGCAGTATATGGTAAGACAATATTTTCATGCAAAGAACCTCCTTTCCTGGAAAAAAAATTACACTTTGATACAAAGAACCATCCAAGGAACCTAGAAGTCTACACATTTTCAACAAAGAAAGAGGGGATACTTCTTAACTGTTTTTTCTTGTGATACTTCAAAACCCTTTTATGATCATACAGATTAGTTAGGATAGCCCGTGAGCCTTGAGTTCTCAACACTCACCAGGTGAGTTTTTCCCACTCCATGAAGAATAAAACCACTTCTTTTAATAAAAAAAAATAATTCTGAACCAAAACCCTCATTGTAATGTACTGAATACTAATGAAGAACTTGCTCACCTGCTGTTGCAGAGAGAAGATGTGCGCGACACAACCATATATTGGATCGCGTAGCCTAGCCTGCGCCTCATATGACATGGTCACTGCAGCCTCGCAGCGGTCACTAACAGGGAGATGCATAAGGATCTTTGAGGCATTACTTGCCCCAAATACCTTATGGATAGCGGCAAAGTGTGCAGCACCTTGCTCATGGCAGAAGTATGGGGCGAAGACACACCCCTTCACACACTTCCTGCGTAGGAACTTGCACGCGCCACATGGTGAGCCAAGTCCTGTCATCCTTGTTCTTGATGCTGTTGTTGGTCTTATTCTTGCTCCTTGCTGGTTATGATATGGATCTTCAGTTCATCATTCTCTGCTATTTATAAAGATAACCCCAGTACTGTGATTGCCAAAGCCTGTCAAATAATTAATTCATCTTGGTCTCCCTAGTGGACTACAAGTTTCATTATTTTAAGCCCAGTTGTTCTACCCCTTTCATGCTCATTTCCAACTCCTGAGTGGAACATATATCATTGATGGTTGAACACATATGTAATAGTTAAACTTTTATACTACCTCCGTTTCAGGTTATAAGACTTTCTAGCATTGCCTACATTCATATAGATGTTAATGAATCTAGGCACACATATATGTCTAGATTCATTAACATATATATGAATGTGGGCAATGCTAGAAAGTTTTATAATATGAAACGGAGGAAGTATTATTTAATATGAATGCAAATGCTGTTCAATGTTTACAAGTTCAGTAATTAAACAGCACATATTGGGCCAAACAGAACTACTTGTTGCATGCCTGTACCCATACCAAAATGCAGGATGGGTACTTTGTGCTTAATGTTTATGAGATATGGAACATGTGGTTAGGTTATAAAATTGCTTCCTATAAACCTTATGTGCATCCTACCTGAGCAGACATCTAAATATGTCCATTTTCCTTTCCTATTTTTCTTGAAACTGTATCATAGTAGTAACATTGGTTACTTTTTTGAGTGTTTCTCTCATGGATCCCAACATTACTTTTGTAAATTTAGGTGACTCTGTTTTTCATTATTTTAAAAACTGGAGTGTTTCCTCCATCGGAGCACATATATAATTCTAAAATATCGGCAGATTACTACCTTATGGTTAAGCTGGTCAAGTCATGAAACAGAATTAAGATAATCAAGTAAAATGCTTACATCAAGTGGCTACTTTACAGATACTCGTAAGTCATAACAATATACAAATGAAAAGGAGTGTAGTCATTACCTGCCACACCAATGACGTGTATTTAGCTTTAATTAGCTTTCTTTTCTTCCCAACCAAATTTTGCTGTATACCCAACAAAACACAATTAATGGTTCCATACTCCTACTTGTGCCAATGTTTTCTTAGCTGGTTCTTATTTCTTTTCTTTTGGCAGGAAAGCTGGCTTCTATTATTATGTAAAACCATTAGTTATTCCAATCACCAATATATTCACAATAACTTGCTTTAAAAAAGTTTCTTGTTCCCCCAGAGGGAATTAATAGATAGATTTTTGGGTCAATAATCACCTGAATGAGTTAAATGTTCTCAGCCACAAATTGACAGCTTGTGTACAGCTCATAATTACTTATCCTTCTTTCATAGTTGATCTGGTACCTATTGTTTCAGGATTGGCCTACAGGGTCCATAAGGGAAACCTTATTTTGTTTGGCCTGCTTAAAGTTAGTTTTTTTTTTGGTATTTATAGTCTTGTACCCAGAGTCCTACCTTCTTCTGTCACATGGTTATTGTGCTATGAAATATTTCTACGGAATTTGCTTACTGGGAGATTTTCCTAAGTTCCTGGCAGTGCCTTAACAATTGTAGTGTTTTGTAAAATGTAGTCGTACGTACCATGCTGTTACAAATCTAGCACAGAGAAATTATCAGCAGTGTTCAGTATTTTTGTTTCATCAAGCATTGCTATGATCCCATCACAAACTAAGTTTAGATGCTAAATCTTGAAATGAAGAGACACACGTGTAGAGCTCTTTTGCTCCAAATTGCACATTAGTAATGCATGCATCAGCATAACCTTTGGAGCTTATATAAGGGTCCCACCCTGTGGGAAACCAAGTGAAGTGGTCGGTGAGTTGGGTATTTAGAGTGGACCCGTAAATCATTTGTTGTTTTTGGAACTTTATGATTACATGTCAATCTTTTAGTGCCTTATGCAGTTAGTTTATAATGCATGATAACTTCATCATGGGCATCTTTATTTTTGTCACAAGGAAAAGCATTTTGAGCCCTTCAGAACTTCACCTGTTCATGTGCTTGTCTTTATAGTTGTTAGCTGGCAAAGAGTGCACGTCCATGACACAATAGAATGCTTTAGAAGTTGAACTATTATGTAAACCACCTCATGACAATATGACATTGACTACATTAGAAAAATAATGCTAACACTATTTAACTACTTGAGTATGAAAAGTGAAAACCACTTGATTATGAGACGAAGTCCTTTCCTGCACTAGTGATCAAACTGAATTACTAGAGTTTTTTTTAGATAATGGGATAATCGGGCCTTGAATGACTGGAGTTGAATGTGTGCTACCATAACTTATGTGTGATGGTTCTGGTATACAAGCTGACATAATATGACTTTCACTTTTTTTTTGTGTGTCTCGTATTCAAAACTTATAAAGGAAACAATTGATTTGCATGTATTAAGCATGAAACTCTGCTGCGTTTGGTCCCCCGGATTACCCTGTTAGATTGTTTTGATTCTCAACCTAAAAATGGTCACTGCGTCATAAAGATCAAGTCACCGTACTGCATTTCTTCCCTAGACATTTACATGCAGGATTTTCAAGACTTATAATATCTTTGCAACATGATAATTCTTAAAAAATAATAGGATTCATCGCTGTATGTAGCGCTCGAATTCATATAAGTGGTAACGACAGGAGTAAAACCGCAAAATATTTTGGTAAAAGCAATGGTAATATTAAAATGAAGCAACTGACAGCATCGTAGAATAACAAGTTAACACTTAACACTATGATTGTAATTAAGCATTGTTTTCCTTTTCTTTCTGTTTTTGAGAAAGCATTGTTGCCTGAATTGAAAGGTGAATCTCAGGTGCTGCTGAAGTGCTGATTGTGGAGGATTTTGTTTGGTGGTCAAATTTGTCTTCATTAGAAGATGCACGGCGACAAACAATGATATAAAGAATTTAAGCTAGAGTTAACTGCACGCATACACCAAATTAATTGGTTACAGTATAGCGGATGATTTGTACCCACTTGGAGACTGGTCAAGAATCAAGATGATGGACAGATCACAACCACAGTGCACGTGTGTGCATGATTGCTAGAATCACTAGTTAAGGTTCAGGAGGTCTTCCCCTTTGTCTTGCTCATGAACACTCACTTGATTAAGCAACTCTAGATTAGTATACTTCCTTATCTGAAAATTAACCACCTAATTTTCCTCTTAGGTGTTAAGTATGTGCTCACATGAGTACTCTTCCGTCTCTGTTAAGCCTAATGGGATGGTATATCATGCTGATCACCTATTTGCCTAAAATAATCCCTCAGCCTTTGTATGCAGGGCTCCACTCATGAGGCACATCTTGCAGAAAACAAGTGTCGGTGTCGTAATGATCCTTGCTGAAATCCAGGAAGCAGTTCTTCATCAACTTTCTTCCCCTTACCGGGTTCAAATTATGTACAGATAAGGTGCTTCCGATCGTTGGATGGCACATTTAACTGTCCAGATTGATCGATGAAATCTGCATTCAGGGCCACCGACCGGAGTTACAGATTCGCACTGGCAGAAAAAATGGGCTTGCTGAAGGGAACACCTAAGGGCCCCATGGCTGCCCTTGCCGGAGAAAATGCAAGCCACAGCAAGGTCAGGTCGTTTTCGTCCTCTAGCCGGTGTGTTGTTAATTTTGACACGGTTGTTTGATGCCATCAGGGTTAATAGCTGCAGTGAGCTAGTGCTTAAATTTTTTCATTCGTAGGATAGAGACATGCAGGCCTGGCTTATATGGAGGAAGTTTTCTTGAGTGTTCTAGCCTCACGAGGCCATGACCAAAGAAACTGATTTTATTTTTTCTAAGGCAGGTCTGAATCCATGTTGGTGATGGAGATGGAAATGGAGCGAGTTGCTAGAGTGCCCCACCGGCGCACATGCGGCATGCAAATAAGCGAAGAAAGCTGCTTGCTTCCCCTGTATTAATCCATGGCGCCGGAAGAGTTGGTAGGTATCTTTGACTGGCCGGCCGTGTGATGTAAGAGGAGATGCATTTGGTCTGTCATCTTGTGAGCTTTTGCTTAGCGGCTCAAGAAACGCGCATGCATGCATGATCATGGCTGGTCTGGACAAGAGCAACCAGATGCCTACAAGCTACACATACATTCTGTCGTAAGCACCAGTTCACCTCCTTTCTTTTATTTTCCTGTGTGAAACAGCTTCAGCTCTGACCTTCCTAGCCTCTTACTATCATTGTCCTGTCGCCATTTTGTGTCATTATCTTTTAATTTGGACAGAACTGAAAGGACGGTGCAAATATCATTTTGACCAGTCTGATGGAGGCAACATCTATCCATCTTTCGGAGTCTGAAGGAACGTGCGTGGAGTCCCTATGGTAAATCAAACAAATTGCTGGGTCGTCATCTCTTTCAGGTAATTGCGAATCAAGCTCCTCCTTTACACCGTTGAACTGGCACAATGTTGGATAACTATGCGTGTCTGCACTTGCATTTTCTGAAGGAGACGTACACAATTACACATGCCGTCTTTATTTTCAGAGGGTCTATTATAGGACCGTGTATTGTAAACACGTATATGCAGTAGGACCTATGCAGTATTGCAATACACGTGCCAATGCTAAGGCCTATTTACTTGATGGATTGAATATCTGTCAGGCCAGCCCACAGAAACTCATGAAAGCACACCAAAAAGGTCCAAGTAACCCATGGTCGATCAGTAACTACCAAATACAGCCCAGTAGGTAAGGAAAAAAGTTCACATTTGGTCCCTCCAACAGGGGTTGAGTTTCAATCGTATCCCTCGACCCCAAAAGTAGATATTGAGCACCCTTAACTTTAAAACCAGTGCAAATTAAATCCCTAAGCGGTTTTAGCTAACGTGGTGCCCCACGTGGCGTGTTGACCCGGTCATCGTCCTACGTGGTGCTTAACAATTAAAAAAAATAGTAGGACCTACATGTCTTCATTGGCATCCCTTTCTTCCTCCTCGACACCTCTCTCTCCCATCTTCTCTCTCCGCTAGTGAGAAGAACAAGTTGACGATGGTAGTCAGCCAAGGAGCGAGTTCCCCAGCCATTAGCCTCTGCTCTCCTTTGCCATCGAACATCTTCTTCTGTTGCTTCGTCGCCACTGCCTCCTCTCCTCTCTCTTTCTCCCCCCATTCTACAGCAGCATCGAGGAGGCCTAGGTGAGAAGCTCCTCACCGCATCACCAGTCGTTGCTTCTACCTTCCCATTGACGAGCTAGCGAGCTCGAGCTCACCGGCCACCACTGCTGATGCGTGTCCATGTTGGGAGAAACATGAAAAGGAGAGAGAGTGAGAGAAGGAAGAAGGGATATGTTTTAGCGATATGTAAGGCCCACCTATATTTTTTTTTGATTGAAGTGCTACGTAGGCGTCACGTCAGCTAATACTAGACATAATACTACTCTATCTGTTTTATATTATAAGACTTTCTAGCATTGCCCATATTCATATAGATGTTAATGAATCTATATATGTCTAGATTCATTAACATCTATATGAATATGGGCAATGCTAGAAAGTCTTATAATATAAAACGGATGAAGTACCTTGAGAGTTAGGACCTTGTTTAGACTAGTATTGCAATATGAGGAATACGTTGTATTCGGTTTTATGGCTGAAGGATACGTTTGAAACTCAGCCTTAAAGGAAAATGAGACGTAAAGTAAGGCCCTATTTAGTTCCCTAAAAACTTTTCGCAAAAACATCACATCGAATCTTTGGACATATGTATGGAACATTAAATATAGATAAAAAGAAAAACTAATTGCACAGTTTGCATGTAAGTCGCGAGACAAATCTTTTGAGCCTAATTAGTCCATGATTAGCCATAAGTGCTACAATAACCCACATGCGCTAATGATGGCTTAATTAGGCTCAAAAGATTCGTCTCGCGGTTTCCAGGCGAGTTATGAAATTAGTTTTTTCATTCGTGTCCGAAAACCCCTTTCGACATCCGGTCAAACGTCCGATGTGACATCCAAAGATTTTTATTTCACCAATTAAACAAACCCTAAACTTATTCCTGTAGGTAACATAAAAAGGCCACATAAAATGGATGAATTCGATATAATGATTAGTAGGCAATATGAATAAAGTAATACATAGAAAACATGAAATACTTGGTTGGTGTCAAATCATCAGATAATAATAAAAAATGAAAATCTGGTTGAACCGTCATGTGTTGTTCTTGTTAAATACCGTTGGAGGCATCACGCAAGGAAGTAATGATGGATGTCTCATTTGGCAGGCCGGGCCCATCTGATTAGGTGTTGTAGATGATGGTGTTTGAGTTTTTCTTTTCTTTTAAGTTTGGCAGGATTACCTTTAGTCATTATTTTCAGACGCCTGCTACATGGCTGATGCACATTGCATAAACGAAAGGAAAAAAGTATTAAAGGTGGTTGATTCCACTTACTATGTCTATTAAGAAATTACAGTAACCGGCAGTGTTGTACAGTCGGAAAAAAAAGAGAGCAAAGAGAAACGAGAATGTAATGAGGAAAATTAACAATGATATGGATGAGTTAATAAATATAATATGGGATTGTACAAGTAGATTAGTGTTGAGAATCAGATAGGGAGGATTGGAGTTGGGACTGGGGAGGTGGTAGTGTGGCTGAAGGAGAAGAAGGATCTGCGCAGCGTCCTACTAGGCCTCTCTGACTCTAAGACGGCGGGCTTTGGTTCCCTGCGGCTGCGGCTGCGGGTGTCGGAGTCGGAGAGTTGGTGCGGGTGCAAAATGATGGCGAGGTAGAGGTGGCAGGAGTCGAGGGAGAACGACCTCCTCATCGGCTGGTGCACGCCGGAGAGCAACTGGTCGTCGTCGTGCCGCGTGCTGGTGGTAGCAGCAGCAATGTGGTTGGTGTCGACGGTGACATGGGCCCTGCAGAGCGGGCAGGTGAGGGCGGTGGCGAGCCAGGCGTCGATGCAGTCGATGTGGAAGGAGTGGAGGCAGGGGGGCAGCCGCCTGAGCCTCTCCCCCTCGCGGAACTCGCCCAGGCACACGCCGCACTGCTGCTGCTTGTTGTGCTGCTGCTGCTGCTGGTAGCGGAGCGTTGGTATGCGGCGGATGGCCGCCTCCTCCAGGCCGAGGCCGCGGCGGGGTTGATCGGCGGCTAAGAAGAAAGAAGGAAGAGGCGGCGTGGGTCGTGCAGTTTGGTGGGAACGGCGGCGCCATGAGCAGGCGAGGAAGAGGTAGTAGGCAAGGAGGAGGATGGAGGTGAAAAGGATGCCGACGACGGAGACGGAGAGGACCAACAAGCTCCCGCTGCCGCTGCCCGAAAGAGCTGAACCCATCGCCACACCACTGAGTAGGAGTAGCTCTTCTTACTACTAATATGCGAGTTGAATTGCAATGCATGCTGATGCTGTTTCGCGGGGTCAGAGAGAAATCTATGAAGGGATATTATTAATTTGGCAATATTGGATCACAATTCACAAGGGAAGACCGACAGTCAGCGTCCACGCCTGCAGCCTGCCTTTCTTCTTACTAGTTGCTGGAGGGAGTACTTCACGTGCCGAGTGAGCAAGTCCATCTCTCCTCCTGCTGCTGCTTTCTTCTTTCTTTTCTTTTCTAGTGCTAGTACAGTAGCTAGGAGATGAGAGAGCACGTCCGCGTCCGTCCATATTACAAGTCCACGCGCTGGTCAACGCCAAGTACTACCTCTGTCCCACCCAAAATAAGTGCAGCCGTGAACGTTTGACCGTCCGTCTTATTTAAAAAAATTATGAAAAATTTGAAAATATTTAGTCACACATAAAATACTATTTACGTTTTATCTTCTAATAACAATAAAAATACTAATCATAAAAATTTTTCAAATAAAACGAACGGTCAAACGTTGAACATGAATAGTACAAAACTGTATTTATTTTGAGACGGAAGGAGTATACAGTACGCGGATGCATATGGTCGCAGCTCGCAAGTCGGAACAGGGACCTAGCGGGTCGCCTTCGACGGCCGCCTAAACTAAAATCAAAGGCAGCAAATGGATGGATGGATGGATGGATTTATTCCCTTCCCCAGCTGGGCCCTCCTTCCTCATCTCTCCTTTTTGACTCTCAAGTCAACTTCATTCCATTCCCATTCCCATCCCCATCCAATCCTCCCTAGCTTAAAAACCTACCTCCTCCATTTGCACATGTCAATGCCTCTGCCATTTTCTCCCTATATATTCACATACACATATGCGTACATGCCAATTGCCAAGTAGTAGTAGTATGCACTGGATGTGTCACATCCTCCACATAAAATCCTTTATATTTCGGGATGGAGGGAGTAGTATTTATGCATGTCATGGCATCTGCTGTTTTGCAATGCCAGTCCTACTCCTATCCTATGCACGTATCAGTTGGATCGGCCCATAAACATGCATACTGCCAGATTGTATCCAATCATCATACATGGGGCCGACAAGCTAGCCCATTAAGCATTACACACCGTCCCTTAACTTTGCTATTTCCTCACCTTCTTTTCTCTTCACTATACAACGACTTCTCATTACTAGTAAAAAAAACTGTTTACTTGGAAACTCGAACGTTTTCAAACTTTTCTTTTAACCAACAAAAGAAATTATTATACTTTCATCAATTTCAAAACTGGCTAGCTAGTGCGCAGGCTTCGCTATACAGCACTGCATTATATTGCAACTACTCACTCTGTTTGCAGCGCAAAATTTCGTACGACGTACGATGCTTTCTATGTCATCCTTGTGCCACTAACATCATGCATGTTATATTGAATACATATATATACATATAAGGGATTTGTGGATTTAAGGATTTACCCTTTATGTTTGTTGGCCAGCAAGTGTAATCGTATTAGATTCCTCAAACCAAAAACATCCTTGCATTATCTACTACTAGTATATAATTACATCTTGTATAATTAAATAGCAGAAGCAATAAAGAAACTGGGCAGCTGGGCTCATCTAACTAAATTTTAGTTAATTCCAGCAAAGACATTCCAATATTATTCCTTTTCGAAGGATCGATCAAACATGAATTTAAACAGCGTGCATGCACATGCGTGTCGCCGACCGGTCCTAGGGAAATCGAGGCCAATACGTCCCTATTCGTTTCAAAGTCCAAACAAGAATATAATCCCAAATAAAAAAAATTAAGGTGCGCAATTCATTCAAACCATCTCTTTTGTTCTTATAGAACAGTACTAGGACTACATGCATGTGTGAGTTATGTACTTGTATATACTATACGTGCAATCCCACTAACCTAAAACAATTGCTAATTGTGACAAAAGAGTCATTACTTAATAAAGTTAGCGATGCGACAAATTATATTTAGCCAGTCAATTGAGGCACGAGGCCTAACTATATACAAGGCTGCAATTCATCAAGGTATGATTCCATCCCTCATCATCATCTAGTTGAGCTTAATTTAGTTTGCATCCGTCCATACAAGAATCAAAAAGGATTCTCCAACTATACAAACACGGTGATGACAATTCAAAGAGAAAACAAGGTAGCGGTATAGCCTACAAATAAAAACAATACTGAGTAGTTTCAATGCCCAATGATATGCAAAAGTTAATAGCTGAAGTTAGGCAACTGTCATTGAACTCAACGCAAGTAGAACGCGTGAGGTACGGTCGGCTGGTTTAGCTATATATCTATATGGTTTTAGATAGTCACCTGAAATTAATTAAAGAATGACTCGACCTACATAAATTAGGCGTACTGATGCATGACCGGATCGATCATCCCGAACACGTAATATATACTCTCTAAATATTTGATGTCATTGACTTTTTTAAATATGTTTGATCATTCGTCTTATTAAAAAAATTAAATAATTATTAATTCTTTTCCTATCATTTGATTCATTGTTAAATATATTTATATGTATACATATAATTTTACATATTTCATAAAAGTTTTTGAATAGGACGAACGATCAAACATGTACTAAAAATTTGAACTGTGTTAAATATTTCGAAACGGAGGGATTATAGATATGCATTCGATCAAGCTCTCTGAAACCACGAGACCTGCTTTATTATTATATATGTTATTTAGTAACATTACTATATATATGTTTTTTTTAGTTAGCTAATTACAGGCAGAGAGCAACAAGGGATGGATGCAGAGGAGCGACCGGGGCCCATCTTCCACAATCTATGTGATCACTTGAGCGCGAGAGAATCGGCATCTTCCTCTCTGCTTTCAATAACGCGATCACAAATTGCATCTCCATTATCTTGAGCTCCCTTAGGGCTTAAGCTCGGAAGCTGCTCTTAAATACAAGTCCAGGCCCCTAGCCATTTCCAGCGCCGTCGCAGCTGCAGCTAGATAGCTATATATATATAGCGTAATCGATCGATCGGTTAAGCATTATATTCAGAGACATATATATATATATACTCCATGCATAGCTAGCTAGCTGAGCTGAATGATCGATCCATGGAATAGATCAGTAGCTAGCTATCATTAGATATATATACTTACAATATTATTAGCACACCCCTGCATCCCCGGTCCGATCCGTAACAGTAGTAGCTAGTTAATTTGATTATTGTCCGTCCGCGGCCGGTCAGTGGTCGCAATCGATCGATCGATATCATGGACGGCGACGGCGGCGGCGGATGGGACGATCAGGGCAACGGCGGCGGCGAGACGACCAAGTACCGTGGCGTGCGTCGCCGGCCTTCTGGCAAGTTCGCGGCGGAGATCCGTGACTCCAGCAGGCAGAGCGTCCGCGTCTGGCTGGGAACCTTCGACACCGCCGAGGAGGCTGCGCGGGCTTACGACCGCGCCGCCTACGCCATGCGCGGCCACCTCGCCGTCCTCAACTTCCCTGCTGAGGCGCGCAACTACGTGCGGGGATCAGGCTCGTCGTCCTCGTCCCGACAGCATCAGCAGCGGCAGGTGATCGAGCTGGAGTGCCTAGACGACCAAGTGCTGCAAGAGATGCTCAAGGGTGGCGACGATCAGTACAGGTCAGCAGCTGGGAGCAAGAGGAATAACTACTAGCTATATATGCTGCTAACCTACTTACAATCGCGATACATATCGAGGTTTGGGGATTTTCTTCTCACCTGTGTGCAGTGGCTGCTAGCTGTGTGCATGTATACGATCGAGATCGATTGATCAGTATCAGCTGGTTAATTACGATCTTTTAATTTCTTCTCCTCCTTAATTCTCTCAGAGAAATCTAATTAATCAGACAGACGTCGTCACTAAGCATGGCGTCCTTGCTGTATTGATCGTGATCGTTTCACCATCTTATATATATGTGTGCATGATTTATTTGCTTCCTTATGTGGTCTTTTGAAAAAAAAGATTTTAATTTGTTTCGTCAATAATAATTGTCGTCTATGCTGTATTTTTATATATACCGTTTACCCTAGCCATAACCCATATATAGCTGCTGGCATGCATATATAGTGCCCCATGCATATCTTCATGAATTTTCCATTCATATATCTTGGAGGCAAATATATACAGCTTGGCAGAAATTATGTGATGCGCTCCTGCAAGCATGATGTTTTTTTTGGTGCGATCGAGTGAGATTAATAGTTATTATGCACCGATTGACAGTTAACGGATGAAGGCCCGGGAACACATAAAATTAATGGTCCGGCCGAAACATAACACCGAATGCACGAGTCATATATATATCGCCGTTATATATTCTTAATATATATAATATATAATGGATGCACAAATATATGCTGAAATTGATTATGACCAAGCATTGTACGTATGCAAATACATTTCACGTACTTAATTACAAAGATCGATCACCGGAAAATCTACCAGATATTTTTTTTGTTTGCTTTTGCATCGCCAACTTTAAGATCAAATATGCTTAACAGTTAACGTGCTGTGGTTAATTAACTTAATCGTGTGCTAAAACATTTTAGTAACTGTGCACCTATATAGGTATAGCACATTTGGTATGGTTATTGCAAAGTCACATTAATTATTGTATGTTTATGATTAAAGTAATTTTATCATTCTTGAGAAGGTATTAGAATGTACCACATGTTATAGCATAAAACTTGGTACCTCGAGGTATGTAAAATTTTAGTATATATCTAGGTACTTTTCTCAAGGACCATAAAAAATTTCTATTATGATTATAACTGTTAGGGTTTAAATCCCAACAACCATATATGCTATACACAAATAGCTATACTTTTAGTACAAATTTGCTGAGGTTTTTAAGAAATATTATATATCTCATGTCTCCATAATGTTTACTAGAACGGACACACAAATGAGTGTGTACGTGTATATTGGGGTATATATATGTGTGTGCGTGTGTGTGTCTTTGAGAGGAGTATTTTTACGTTAGCTTATACTAGTATTTCGACTACCAGCATTATCACTATAGAAACAATATAAGTCATTGATTTATGAGTCCTATTTTTTTTTGAAAATTCACCGGGGGGGGGATTACTTCGAACCAACTTACAGCGAAGAGATACATGAGAGTTTCCAAGCATAGGAGCCCTTGAGGATAACATGAGAGAAAGTACTGAGAGATACAGAGAAGAGAATACAAAAGATTAAGAGTCTGGACTCTGGAGGGGAAGCTTTGACATTTTCCACCTACAAGATCACCTGACCAAGATCAAAATCACTAACGCTAGACCCTATCTCAACCACATCCGCTTCACACGCAGAATTTGAAACACCATAAAACAATAAAGCCGGGGGGCCATTTCTGCCACGAGCATATCGACTCGAGTTTCCGGCGATCAAAAGACTGTGATTGTCGAGGACCACCCGCATTAGTCCATAAAAAGCACGACTTCATTATGTTGCTGCTTGCATCAATGCCTGCCGGCACCCTTTAGGGGAAGGAAGCCCCAAAGAAGGGAGGGCCACTGAAGATTATGGCCATGGGCCATCCGCATCAAGACGTCTTCAATATGGATTTATGAATCCTATTACTAGCAGGAAAAGCTATTACACTCTATACAGTAGTTGATGAGGTAGTATTAATAGATAGGGCCGATTTTGGATGAGAAAATATTATCAATCTAATAAATTTATTCTTCTACCAGTACAAACCACCATAAAAATTGTCTAGAAATAAAGTGTGCATAAGCATACAACTAGCTATACTAGCTAGAGGCCGGCGCGCTATATATATGTGCATGCATATATATAACCAGCGAGGGTGAGGCTATGCGGCAGAAATTATAGCTACGTACGTACTGGCTAGAGAGGAGAATCATATAATTCATGGGGTCTAGCTTTAGCAGCTAGCTGGATCAATCATACTACGCCAGATCCTCACACCTCTGACGGGATACCTGTGACGGGCAAACGAATTGGTCAGTATTGACCATTACCTTTGACGGGTTATACGGGATGCCGTCACCGGTGAGGCATCTGGCCGCGGCCCGTCACAGGTATCCCCTTACCTGTGACGGGCCGAAAGGAAAACCCGTCAGAGGTATACCAGTGACGAGTTTTTCTTCCAACCCGTCACTGGTATCCCCTCACCTGTGACGGGCCGATACATTAGAAGCCGTCAGAGGTGATGGGCCGCCACCTGTGACGGCTTTCATTTCTGGCCCGTCACAGGTGAGCGGATACCAGTGACGGGCCGTTGAATAGAAGCCCGTCAAAGGTATGAGCAATACCTTTGACGGGCTTTTTTTATCTAACCCGTTTGAGGTGTGTTGGGTCTATAAATACCCCCAAACTGCCAACTGCTTTCCATCCCGACCATTGTACTGTTCACAAATCGGTTGGGAGGGCAAGGGGGGCGATTTTTTACTAAAATTCAAGGTAAAAAACATATTATTCTCCATTCATTCTCAACATATCGATCATCATTTATTTTTCTTCGTATGTTGTTGATTTCAGATGGATCGTAGATGGATGTACTATGCGCATCGTTCGTCTACCGAGTATAGAGAGGGGGTCACTGAATTTGTCACATTTGCGGATAATGACAGAAAAAGTAGGATGAGCATGCACATGTTGTGCCCATGTAGGGACTGTAAGAATGAACGGATGATCGAAGACAAGGATGAAGTGCATGCTCATTTGATAATGAATGGATTCATGAAGAAATATACCTGATGGACCAAGCATGGAGAGCAAGAGGCGCCTGATGTCGCAGCTGAAGAAGTGTTGGATCAGGGTGTAGAGAACACCGCCGCAGCTCGAGAAGGCATGTTCGTACCTTCTCCTTTAGGTGGAGAGACCATAGATTTGGACACTCAATGTCTATCTACAATGTTGCATGACATTGAAGACGCAGAGGACAACGACAGAGATTATGAGAAGTTTAGTAAGTTGGTGGAAGATTGCCAGATGCCGTTGTATGATGGATGCAAGTCGAAGCACAGCAAGTTGTCATGCGTGTTGGAACTGATGAAGCTTAAGGCTATTAATGGCTGGTCGGACAAGAGTTTTACAGAACTCCTTGAGCTGTTAAAGGATCTGTTGCCAGAGGGGAACAATTTACCTCAGACGACATATGAAGCGAAGCAAGTATTATGTCCGTTGGGCCTGGAGGTCAGAAGAATTCATGCATGTCCGAACGACTGCATTTTGTATTACAAGGAATACGCTGACTTGGATGTCTGCCCTATCTGTGGGGGATCAAGATACAAACGAGCAAAGAGTGAAGGTGAAGGAAGTAAGTCAAAGAGGGGAGGCCCAGCAAAGGTGGTGTGGTATCTCCCAATTGCGGAGCGCATGAAGAGAATGTTTGCGAACAAGGAACAAGTTAAGCTTGTGCGCTGGCATGCCGAAGAACGGAAAGTCGATACTATGCTGAGGCACCCAGCAGATTCAGTGCAGTGGAGGACAATCGATAGGATTTACCAGGAATTCTCAAATGACCCAAGAAACATGCGTTTCGCAATGTGTACGGACGGCATTAATCCTTTCGGTGATTTGAGCAGTCGTCACAGTACATGGCCAGTTCTGCTTGTTAACTATAACCTTCCTCCCTGGTTGTGTTTCAAAAGAAAGTACATTATGCTTGCCATGCTCATTCAAGGACCGAGACAACCTGGCAACGATATCGATGTGTTCCTTGAACCGATAATCGATGACTTCGAAAGGCTATGGAATGAGGGCACACGAACATGGGACGCATATGCACAAGAGTATTTCAACCTCCATGCGATGCTGTTTTGTACCATCAACGATTATCCGGCCCTTGGCAACCTTTCTGGCCAAACTGTGAAAGGGAAATGGGCGTGTTCGGAGTGTATAGAGGAAACAAGAAGCAAATGGTTGAAGCATTCACACAAGACGGTCTACATGGGTCACAGGAGATTTCTCCCAAGGTATCACCCGTATAGGAATATGAGAAAGAATTTCAATGGACACAGAGATACAGCCGGACCCCCGACAGAGCTAACAGGGACAGAGGTGCACAACTTAGTGATGGGAATAACCAACGAGTTTGGAAAAAAGAGGAAAGTTGGAAAGCGAAAAGAGAAGAGCACATCGAAGGAAAAAACAGAGGAGCATGTGGAAAAACAAAAGACAAAAGAGAGGAGCATGTGGAAAAAGAAGTCAATATTCTGGAGACTACCATACTGGAAGGATTTTGAAGTTCGCCACTGCATAGATTTGATGCATGTCGAGAAGAATGTATGCGAGAGTTTAATGGGATTACTGCTTTAACCCAGGTACTACAAAGGATGGTCTCAACGCCCGACGAGATCTGGAAGATATGGGTGTTCGGTCGGAGCTACATCCCATAACCACGGAATCCAACAGGGTTTACCTTCCTCCAGCCTGCTACACTCTCTCGAAAGAAGAGAAGATTGATTTGCTAACATGTTTGAGTGGTATAAAGGTTCCATCTGGTTACTCATCAAGAATCAGTAGGCTCGTTTCACTGCAAGATCTTAAGTTGGTTGGAATGAAGTCGCATGATTGCCACGTTCTTATCACACAGCTGTTGCCCGTTGCAATAAGGAATATTTTGCCTCCTAAGGTGCGACACCCGATCCAGCGGTTGTGTTCCTTCTTCCATGCAATCGGCCAGAAGATCATTGATCCCGAGGGACTAGATAAACTACAGGCAGAACTTGTGAGAACCCTATGTCATCTTGAGATGTACTTTCCTCCAACTTTCTTTGACATAATGGAACATCTTCCGGTGCACCTTGTGAGGCAAACAAAGTGCTGTGGTCCAGCATTCATGACGCAGATGTATCCTTGCGAAAGGTACCTGGGGATCCTTAAGGGTTATGTACGGAACCGTTCACACCCCGAGGGGAGTATCATCGAGAGTTACACCACCGAAGAGGCCATCGAATTTTGTG